AGCAGGGTGACCTAGGCGGTTGTCACAGGATCGAATGTGTCGAGGAAAAGTTGCACTATCGATTGATACAAGGCGCTTTTATACTTCCAAAGTACTTTAGGTAATTAGGTCTATCTTATCTTAAGGGAATAGACCCTTCTAGAAAATATAATCACCCTGTGTATAGCCACGCGAGGCTATTGGCTTAAAGGTCTTATGGCAGGATTACGCTAGATATAGCGCGTCAGTATATCCCAAGCCTGGTCGGTGATATAATGATAATAACATGATAAATCAAAGGTTTATGGAAATGGAGGATTAGGAATCCAAATGGAATGAGATAAAGACCAAATGAATCAGGATAAAAAGAGGAATGAAATGGAAAGGGAAGATGGAAAGGAGAAAGGAATGGAACGGGGTCGTACTCTCACACTTCCTCCCGTCAAAGCTGGGTGGTAGACGTAACACCCTGCTTGACAAGGTAGTCGCGAAGAGAACGACGAGCGTGATCCATCTCGAATTCAGAGACCCAGCTATCCTCTGAAGGATCATAACCCTTCCAACGGATGAGAAGCTCCACAGTGCCATTCCGTTGACGGCAGTGAGCAAGCACGGACTCGACCTCGTACTCGGGTTCATCATGGACGAGGACGGGCGGCGGCGGCGGCGGTTGGCGTCCTGAGAAGATCGTGTTGGGATCTCGGTAGGGCTTCAAGAGTTGGACATGGAAGGCGTTGTGAAAAATCCAAGTAGCTGGCAGGCGTAAGCGGAAGGTAACAGGAGTGACCTGTGCTTCAACGAGGAAAGGCCCGCAGAAGCGAGGTCGCAGTTTGGATGGGAGATGGCTGATGTCAAGATTGCGCGTGTCAAGCAGTACTCGGTCTCCCACGGTGATGGTGTGGTTTGTACAGTGGCGATTGGCCCAGCGTTTCTGTTGTTGCTGAATGTCGAGAAGGCGCTTGTGGGTCCGATCCCAAAGTTTGTGCATGGTCGTGACAAAATCCTGAGCGGGTTGGACTGTGGCTGGTATGTTTGGTTGTTGAGGTGTGAGTGGGTGGCGTCCATAACAGAGGAAGAACGGCGTCTGTCCAGTAGCGGCGTGAGTAGCATTGTTGTAGGCAAACTCCAGTACGGGCAGATGCAAGTCCCACTTGAAGATTTCGTCCTTGCAGGCTGCGCGGAGGAGGTGCTCCACAATTTGGTTGAGGCGCTCGGTCTGTCCATCTGTCTGCGGATGGTAGGCGGATGACATGGCGAGTTTGGTTCCGAGTAGAGACATTAGTTCTTTCCAGAATTTACTGGTGAACTTAGGGTCTCGGTCGGAGATGAGTGTGGTTGGAATTCCATGTTGTGAAATGATGTAGCGAACAAAGAGTTGTGCTGTCTCTTTGGTGCGTGCTGTCGTGTGTGTCGGGATGAAGTGTCCCATTTTGGAGTACTTGTCAATGACGACGAGGATCGCGTCATGACCGCTTGTGGTAGTTGGTAGCCACGTGATGAAGTCTAGGCTAACCACTTGCCATGGCTGTTCTGGGACAGGAAGAGGCTGTAGCAGACCCGCCTTTTTCTGTTTGCTGCTCTTCATCCACTGACATGTAGTGCATGAGGTGACGAATTTCTGCACGTCATCTGCTATGTGGGGCCAGTAGTAGTGTTTGGCGATACCGGTGAGCGTCTTGTTGCTACCGAAGTTTCCTGCGTACAGGATGTCGTGGTATTCTTCGAGTAGTAACTGGTGCAATGGAGGGTAATTAGGTACCCAGATTTTCGTTGATCCTTTCTGGTACGCGATGTCGTTGTCCCACTGTAGCAGATGTCGCATTTCTGCCAAGGGAATTTCGGGGTCGATGGTGTACCTGTGTGTGAAGAGTCCCTTGAGGAGTGGATTCATCCCTTCAATTTGGATAGCGGCCACGTGTGCAGGCCGGCTAAGCGCATCGGCTTTGTTTTTATGGCCAGGCTTGTACACGATGTCGTAGTGGAAGTGTACCCAGATTTTTGTTGATCCTTTCTGGTACGCGATGTCGTTGTCCCACTGTAGCAGATGTCGCATTTCTCGATCTTCGCGTATTGTGGGACGAACCTGTTGTAGTAATTAGCGAAGCCAAGGAACTGATGTAACTCCTTTACATTCTCGGGTGTCTTCCACGTGCGTACGGCTTTGATTTTCTTAGGGTCGACGTGAACTCCATGAGCGCTTACGATATGTCCGAGGAATTGGACTTTTTCGAGGGCGAAGTCGCTCTTGGATAGTTTGATGTAGAAGCGTTCTCGTCGAAGAATCTCGAAGACGCGTCGCAGGTGTTCAACGTGTTGTTGCATATCGCGCGAGTAGATGAGGATGTCGTCCAAGTACACCATCACACATTCGTCCAAAAGTGGTCGTAGAATGTTATTCATCCCTGCTTGGAACGTTGCAGATGTGTTGGTGAGTCCGAACGGCATTGCCAGATACTCGTACGATCCGTACCGAGTGCGGAAGGCAGTTTTGTGAACAGAATCGTCGGCCATTCGTATCTGCCAGTATCTGGATCGCAGGTCTAGTTTTGATTATACCGTGGCTCTCCGAAGCTGGTCAAGCAGGTCATCGATTCGTGGAATCGGGTACTTGTTCTTGATGGTCTGCTTGTTGAGAGCTCGGTCGTCGATGCACATGCGCATGCTTCCGTCCGGTTTCGGTGTGAAGAGTACTGGGGCACCGTATGGCGAAGTGGAAGGTCGGATAAGTCCTTTGGCGAGGAGATACTCGATCTGCTTCTTCATGTCGGCTAGCTCTGTAGGGCTGAGCCGATACGGTGCTCGGAAGATCGACTTCGAATCTGGTTCCTCCACGATCTCGTATTGGTGCGTTCGGTATGGTGGTAGCTCGTCCGGGAGGTCGTCGGTAAGAATGTCTTGGAACTCTTTCAGTAAGTCCTTGATTTTTTCTGGAGGTTCCGAGGCTTTCTCTCCATCATTCTCCACCTGTGTTGTTATCGCCAGAAATCCGGTGTTGGTTCGTTTCACGTCCTTCTCGAACCTGGCGAGTGTCTCTACTAGGATGTCTCCTGTATTGTCCCAGTTGGGTAGCTGGACTCTCCTTCTTTTGTTGTAGATGCTTGCGGTGCGGTTTACCCAGTTGATCTCGGGGTTAAATTTCTTGAGGAAGTCTTGCCCGAAGATCAAGTCAAGCCCTTTTATGTTGGTGATGGGGAGAGCAGGTTTCCAGAGCAGTGGTCCGATTTGCAGGTGTAACACTGCTTCGCCGTACACTGGTAACTTGCTGCCGTCCAGCATCGTTGCAGAAAAGGCTGATGGCTTGTACTATTCTCGAAGTCGGTCGATCGTTGCCTTGTCGCATACGGTGTGCGATGCTCCGCTGTCCATGAGTGCTTAGAGGCGTCGTCCTTTGCAGATGACCTCGAGCACGAGGGGCAGGCATTGCTCGGAGTACCCAAAGATAGTTTCATTGATAGGATCATAGGGTACATCCCATTATTCCGTACACACCTTTGTGTTGCTATCTACTCCTGAGCTGGCAGCTGGCCGAGGCTGCTTGGAGAAAGGCTCTTCTCCAGGGCCCGGAGTCTCTGTGACGACTGCTCGTGTCGTTGACGAAGGTGCCGAGTTGGATGCATTCGAAGAAGGAGTTCGGGGTTTTGGCAGCTTCTTGTAGACCCCGAGCTTCCTCTTGAGCTGCTTTAGCTCCACCGACGTCTTCCCTTGGGAGCGGGTAGTCGTTGTGGGCTGGTGTAGGGAGAGGACGTTGACTCAATGGAAATGTCGGCTTCTTTCCACACTCCTTAATTTGGTCGCCATGTTCTCCGGTACCGGTACGATCTCCAAAACTTTCTGCTTCTTTTGGAGCCACGCGACTTACCCCCTCCGGCCATCCTGTTCAAAACACGCGCGAAGGGGGTAATTCGGAAAAACACGGAGCTGGTGCTTACCAGAATCAGCGTCGAATTGGTCGCCCCCAGCGGTTTTTTGAGGCAGGAGTCCCGCTGCTGCTGCTTAGCTGAGCGCGGCCGAGTGAGAAAGCTCTGATTACCAAGTGTTACACGATCGAATGTGTCGAGGAAAAGTTGCACTATCGATTGATACAAGGCGCTTTTATACTTCCAGAGTACATCAGGTAACCAGGTCTATCTTATCTTAAGGGAATAGACCCTTCTAGAAAATAGAATCACCCTTCGTATAGCCACGCGAGGCTATTGGCTTTAAGGGATTACGGCAGGATTACGCTAGATATAGCGCGTCAGTACATTCCGAGCTTGGTCAGTGAAATAATGATAATTACTGGATAAATCAAAGGTTTATGGAAAAAGAGGATTAGGAATCCAATTGGAATGAGATAAAAAGAATCAGGATAAAAAGAGGAATGAAATGGAAAGGGAAGATGGAAAGGAGAAAGGAATGGAAGGGGGTCGTACTCTCACAGCGGTGGTGCCACAAGAGTGCCGAATGGGTGAGGGAGCGACAAGAGCAGGACGCAGGTACCTTGGTGGATGCAGCTATCTGGGGGAACTCCGTGTGCAGTGTGAAGAGACTGGACGTTAGGTCACGGTCAAAGGTGGCAAGTGTTGGTTGGAGAAGGCTATGAGCAGAAGATTTGACAGCTCAGAAATTTCTGCAGCACTTCGTTATGGTGCCTAGAAAACTCGCAAACAGACGACAGGATGACGTGCAAACGAATATGCACCAATAGCAAGACGGGCATCCCTGGCTGCATCCGTACAGGCTGCATACCTCTCGTGGCCAGGGAACATGGTGGTGGCACCGCGGTCCTGAATATGACCAATGCCAACCAAGTTCCTAGAAATCATGGGGATCTGCAAGCTGGTAAGGGAGCCGGACAGAACAGCTGAATAGGGGAGGGCAGTGATGCTGCGGGTGACGACTGTGGTAGGTGAGTCTGCGAAGGTGACCTGTATCGGTGCAGGGATCGGCATGAGTGCAATGCGGTCGAAGAAGCAGTGAGACGCGCCAGTGTCGAGTGTGAAGGACAGGGCCACCTCAGCAGGGGAAGACGCCGAGCCTTGAATGCACACAGCAGTCTATTCTATACTATACACAGCAGGGATCCTAGACTACACAGAGCAGGAAAATATGAGTCAGTTACTCTATAATCCTCAGAGTACAAAGAAAACATGGCAGAACCTATCTGGGCCAACTCTAACTCAAACACCAGGATGCCACGGCGATAAGGACAGGCCACTCCGGAGGGGCCGCTAGGGGCCCAATGTGACCACAGTACAGATCGTCCAGGCGGCGAAAGCAGTGAGCGGCGGTGTGAACCATGCGCCCGCAGGCCTGGCGGTGCAGAGGGCTGGTCTGGATCTGGTACACACAGCGCACGGGACCCCCAAGCCCCACACCACCCTATCCCCCGGAGGAGCCACGCGAGCCCCAGGGCAGTGACTGCCACGGGGCCCAACTGCCTGGGCTAGCACCACGCCCAAGACCCCACTGCTGCTGCCGCGGCTGTTGCTGCTAATGCTGGTACTGTTGCCACTGAGGCTGCTGCTGCTGCTGAGGCTGCTGCTGCTGCTGCTGCTGCTGCTGCTGCTGCTGCTGCTGCTGCTGCTGCTGCTGCTGCTGCTGCTGCTGCTGCTGCTGCTGCTGCTGCTGCTGCTGCTGCTGCTACTGCTGCTGCTATTGCTGCTGCTGCTGCTTCTTTTGCTGCTGCTGCCGGTGTTGCGGCTGCTGCTGCTCCCCCGCCTCCTCCGCACCTGCTTCTCCACCAGCTCCCCGAGCCTCACTTATTCCCCAACCGCCAGCCGATGCCCAATGACCACCCCAGCGCTGCGAGCACCTGGCAGAGCGACCAGGTCTAGTGACCGCCGCAGCGGTCTCAGTGGCCCCTCGAGTAAGCGCCGGCCCCTCCTGCACCCGCCCGGCCCCACGCGTGCCTCGCCGGCCTTTTGCGCTCGCCGGCCCCTCGCGCGCCCGCTGGCTCCTCGCATACCTCGCCAGCCCCTCCCGTGCCCACCGGCCCTTCGCACCTCGCCGGCCCTTCGCGCCTCCCCGGCCCTTAGCGCCTCGCCGGCCCTTCGCGCCCCGCCGGCCCTAGACGCCCCACCGACTCCTCGAGCGCCCACAGGCCCTCCCGCGCCACCGGACCCCAGCACTTTGCCGGCCCTTTGCGCCCTGCCGGCTCTGCGCGCCTCGGGCCCTGCGCGCCTCAGCACCTGCGCGCCCTGGGCCCTCCTCGGCCTCCCGACCGGTCTTCTCGCCAGAGAGTCCTGCCGCCACGCCACTGTGCCGCCGTGCCGCAAAGTACCTGTACCGTTGTGCCGACGTGTCCATGTGCCGCTGTGTTCCCGTGCGCTGTCTAGGATTCTCGCGATGCTGTAGTGCAGCTCGCCATTAGTCATGCGCTTCCCCTGTCTGAGCGTCCGCGCTTCACAGCTGTCGCGAACGCCAAGGACTTCCTAAATGCAGTAGTTGCAGGCTACTCACACTTGTCTCCGCCTCCGCTGGCCGCTTGATCCTCCCCATGCTATTCCCCGATCTTTCCGCTTTCCCCATTGTCGCAGACCTTGCCACTCACCTCCGTGCACTAGCGCCTAGCTACCGCGCTGCTAGCACTGCCGCCCAGCTGACTGCCTTCCCCCAACCGTTCTGCGCTACCCTGTACCTTATTGCCATGCGCCTGCCTAACCGCTTAGCCACTGCCCGAGACCACTTCCTTAGCCAGCACCCTGTCGACCTCACCCTGACTGCCTTTGTCTCTGCCCTCTCTGAGACAGAGACTCGCAAGTGCACTATCGCTCAGTCGTGCGGTGTTGCGGCAGTCCCTATCTTTCATGGATGTGCTCCCTCCCTGTGCACACATGCTGACGTTTCCACGGCGGTCACTACGGCTGCCCCTGCCATTAATACCGCAGCTACGGCCTCCCCGCAGCAGCGACAGCGTCAGGGCCGCCGCGGCCCCAAGGGAGGGCGTGGTGGTGGCGCAAGTGGTGGTAGTGGTGGTGGCAGGGACAGTGGTTCAGACGAGGGGGTTGGGGCTGGTGTCCAGGAGCAGCAGCCGCAGCCGCAGAGCAGCCGTGGGCCCGCCTCCCGCTGGGGTGGCCAGGAGCCCTTGGCCGTGGTGGCCGCGGTGGCGGCCCCCGCAGCTCGACGTCTACCGGCGGCTTCGGTGCTGTGAGCTGCCAGTACCAGCTCCCGACCGGGCCCCTCCATGGCACTGTGTGCTGCCGCCCGCACCCGACCGCCCGCTTCTTCTGCTGCCTCGACGACCTCTTCCGTCGCCGCTTTGGCCCGGCCCCAGACCTCCATGACTGGCCCAGTCTGCTGCACCACGGTGTGCCTGTTTTTGACTAAGACATGGATCTGATTAGTTCTGCCCTACATTCTCTGTATGCTGATGCTTCTAGTGTGTCCGGATCTTATTACCCTGTGTTCTCTAGCTTAGGCGTAGCACCTGTGTGTAGTACAGAATCCCCTTCTGTGTCTGACGTAGGCCCGTTTGCTTTGCCTAGCCTAGGCTCTACACTTGCTCCTCCTTCGTCTGCCCCTACTGCTTTGCTGTCCTTCACACCTGACTCCGGTGCATCGGCCTGCTTCTTCCGCGACCACGCTACGCTTACGCTGCTTGCCGCGCCTGCCACTGTAGTACTTGCTGACCCCTCCTCTGATCCTGTAGTTGTTCGCAGCTACACTACCCTTCCTTGTCCAGCGGTTCCCTCGGGTTCCCTTACAGGCCTGCACATCCCTTCGTTCTCCAAGAACTTAGTTGGTGTCGGCTGTCTTCAGGACCTGGACGTCACCACTATGTTCCCTGGTCACGAGCGGTACGCTGTCTGTACCAAGGCCGCCTCAGGTTCCCCCCTTGCGACATTACCCCGGGACCCGGTATCTGGCCTGCTTATACTGGACACTGCATTCACCCTGCGCCCTGCTTTCCTTGGAGCGGAAGGCCGACGTGCCTGACGTTCTTATCCCGTGGGTCGTAGCTGCACCTGCGGTCTCCCTTTGCTGTGTCTCCACTCCAACCATAGCTGCGACTTCGCCTCTGGTAGGCTTGGACAGTTCTATCGTGCGGCGGGCATCACCTAGTCGTACACCCTACCGAGCTCCCCACAGCAGAATGTGGTCACTGAGCGACGCATCGGTTTGGTCATGGAGGTGACTCATGCCTCCATGATTCATGCCGGTGCACTCCATTTTCTGTGGCCGTTCGCAGTTCGCTACGCCGCTCAACAGCTTAACCTCTGGCCGTGCTCCCAGCGGCCGCAGGTTTCGCCGACCCTTCTTTGGACCGGGTTCCCTGGTGACGCGTCCGCGTTCCACATCTGCGGCTACCTTGCTCACGTTCGTGCCTCTGCCATGGACAAGCTCACTGCCCGTACTGTCCCCTGTGTCTTTCTCGGTTTCCCCCTTGACTCGTCTGATTGGCACTTTTACCACCCGCCGTCTCACCGCTTCTTTCACTCTCGTGACGCTACTTTCGTTGAGTCTGTCTCCTTTTTCCACTGCTTTCCCCACCGAGGTCTCCTAGTTTCCCCTCCTCTGTTTCTGGGTCCCACTCCCCCGGTAGCCCCTGCTCTCCCACCCCGTCTTGCTCCGTCTGGTGTGTCTCACATCACTCCCCTCCCGTCGGTTGTCCTGGTCGATGAGTCGGCTGACTTTGGTGGCCCTGCAGCGCCGTTCTCGCTGCCTGCTCTCCCCCGGTGTCTCCTCCTCCGCCGTCGCAGTCGCCGCCGCAGCAGGCGTAGCCGCCGACACCACGGCAGCCGCCGCCGCCGCAGCATTAGCAGCCGTTCGTGGACTCTGCGGGTGCTGGCGTTGAGGAGGGTGCTAGTCCTGGGGTTCCTGTCGTGGCTTGTCCCGGTGGGCCTGGGGGTGGCAGCGGTACTGGAGACAGTCCTCGCTCTAGGGGTGCTTGCTCTAGGGGTGCTGGAGTGGAGTGTTTCGGAAGTAGCCGTGGTGCAGCTGGCTGTGTAGGTTTCGGCGTCAAGCAGCAGCAGCAGCAGTCGCCGCCAGTGTCCGCCCTTCGCTTGCTCGGCCTTCCCTCCCCTGACCGCTTGCCTGCGCCTCCCCCGGCCCCTCCTCCTCTTCTTGTCTACGGCCCTGTGTTCCCTCCGCCGGACTCGTCTCCGGCCCGTCTTCCCCCTCGTTCCCCTCTTGTGTCTCCTCCTCTGTCTCCTGACCAGACGCCTCCGTCTCACGTCTGGTCTTGCCATCCCTCTCGTGCTCGTCCTGTCACTCCTGTTCAGCGTTCTCACCCTATGTTGCTTCGTTCCCACGCGTCTCGTCGCTCCTGCAACAGGCGCCCTGGGAGTGGCACGACACGCTGCATGCTATGCTAGCTGACGTGCAGTTCTTTCCGTCCTCTGCAGACCCCTCGCTCTTTGTTAGTGCCGGCGAGACTCCGTTCTACATCCTTGTCTACATCTCAGCATCCTGGCTCACTTTGTGGCCACAGGCAGACACCGACCACAGCACTGGTCACCCGCTAAGAGGGTTTTGCGTTATCTAGCAAGTAACATCGAGCATGGGGCTAGTGCTGGGAGGACGAGGGCCAGTGGTCCTTACTGGGCACACAGACACTTCTTGGGCAGATGACGCTGAGACCCTCAGGTCCTCCCAGGGCTACTGCTTTAGCCTTGGTTTGGGTGCCATCTCGTGGAGGTCCACTCGCTCCTTGTTTGTTACCCAGTCTAGCTATGAAGCTAAGATGTACGCTGGTGCCATGGCGGCACAGGAGCTCCACTGATTGACCTTCTTGCTCACCGACTTAGGTGAGCGGCCTAGCTCTGCCCCGGTTCTGTACGCAGACAATAGGGCCATGATCCTCCAGCGTCAGGAGCCTCGACTTGAGGGCAGAGCACATCCTGCTGTGGTACTTCCTCCTGCGCGAGCTACAGCAGCGTCGCCAGGCCCGCGTAGTACACTTGGCCTCCGGTGCCAACACAGCTGATATCTTTACTAAGGCGCTTGCGCCTAAAGATCATCAGCGGCACTGTTTGAAGCTTGGTCTAGTTCCTGTCTCTACTCACTTGCTAGGACCTTGATTGTGTACACCTCTTGATATATACCTTTCTGACTGGCCTTGTGGCTTCTCTTCCAGTGGCCAGACTAGTAATGACACCCTGATTTGCTCTATTCTTGTTTGTACTCTTGCTGACCGGTCTTCGGACCCCTATCTCAGAGGTTGGACTAGTAGTGCCACCCTGTGCTGCGTATTTCTTGCTCAGCACTGCCCCTTAACTAGCCTAGGGGGTGTGTCAATTTATACATATATTTGTATGTAGAAGTGATAGGCTAGATAGGTGTGTGTTCTTAGAGGGTACAACTCCAACCCTATATCTTCCTTGTTCTCACTTATTTCTAGTTATTCTCGTATTCTAACAGTTCTATCTGCGACCTAGTGGATAACCCCATCACGCAGTAATCGGTTGTCACCAGGTGGTGTGACTGGACACTTGGTTTCAGCGAAGTGTCCCTACCGACCACCACTCTCCCTCAATTTCTGCTTCAGCTTTGCGAGATGGTTTCGAAACTGGCGGGAGGACGAAATAGGCACCTAAAAGTGGTGGCGGGAGTAAGGGGAATGCAAGCGGAGGGTTTCGAGTAATAAGATATCAAGTGTCTAGTAAAAAGAACTGAAAGTGGATATTCTCATATTAATAATTTAAGCTTTGGTTTCAAATGTCAGACAAACATTTTGATTTTGTCTGACATTCAGACAAGTCTCAAAAATTTCAGATGGGATTTTTTTTTAGAGGTCCCTACTCTT